CATATTTACAATATAGCCCCCTAGACTATTGAGGGTTACACACTTTATCTCACATCTTACAAACTATACGTCATATTCGATAGATGACATATAACCTATCGACACATGACACTTATTCTACCGATAACGACAAATACCAACTAATACAAATAAAATACAAATTATAAAATACATCCTTCCACAACGAAAGGACACGTGTCTTCAATAATGTCTTCAATAATAATGGCTTTTATACGTCATTATGTGCGTCATTCCTCCCGCCACCGAAAGGACATATATTTTTGAATAATGTTTGCTTATGTCATGACTGGCGTTAATCTCCCATGAATGGTGTTTACGATGTTTCTTTCATGAATGGATGCTTGTTTGAACTGTTGTTGTTGTTGCTTCATGATGGCTTCCATTCTCTCGTCAATGTGTCTGCTATATGATTGTTTGCGCTTTTGATGTATCTGAGATAGGGATGAAATTGATGTAATTGTAATTGCCAACAAATCAATCGTCCACGACAATAATCTTCTTGTAATTTATAGCACCAAAATCCAAGTAGATACTTGGAATTTGTTCGTAACTCGAATCTTGTTTGTAGAAGCTCGACCTTCCATTTCTTCAATAGTCTAGGGGGATATATTGTAAATATGTTTGTCGTATTGCAATCATACGATTGCAATTCAATTATGTAATCGGCTCTCTTGAGCCTATAAATAGGGTCTTTGCCCATATGAAATAAACAAGATAAGTTTGAGAGTTTTAAGACTTGAGTTGATCTCAACGTTCTTCCTCTGTTGAAATAGTTCGTCTATTTCTGAATAGCAGAGCCCTCTGTTGAAATAGTTTATCTATTTCTGAATAGCAGAGCGTCTATCCAAACTATCCAAAACCATCCATCTAATCATCATCAAGATCATCCCGACGCATCATTCAGGTATACTCCTATCCTAATTTTTATTAATCCGTCATCATGTTAAGGAAAAATTTGGTATCAGAGCAAATCATAAGGAAAAATTTGGTATCAGAGCAAATCATAAGGAAAAATTTGGTATCAGAGCAAATCATAAGGGAAAATTTGGTATGAAATTTTTCAAAGAAGGAATTCGCTAATGCATCATTCAGGTATACTCCTATCCTAATTTTTATTAATTCGTCATCATGTTAAGGAAAAATTTGGTATCAAAGCAAATCATAAGGAAAAATTTGGTATGAAAATTTTCAAAGAAGGAATTCGCTAATGCAATGTAAATTTGTTCCATCAAGATAGATAGTGTCTATGAATCCATGACTGATGTAAATACATCCTTCCACAACGAAAGGACGCGTGTCTTCAATAATGTCTTCAATAATAATGGCTTTATACGTCATTGCGTGTGTCCTATTTATAGGCTCAAGAGAGCCGATTACATAATTGAATTGCAATCGTATGATTGCAATACGACAAACATATTTACAATATAGCCCCCTAGACTATTGAGGGTTACACACTTTATCTCACATCTTACAAACTATACTATCATATTCGATAGATGACATATAACCTATCGACACATGACACTTATGATTTGCTCTGATACCAAATTTAACATGATGACGGATTAATAAAAATTAGGATAGGATTGTACCTGAATGATGCGTCGGGATGATCTTGATGATGATTAGATGGATGGTTTTGGATAGTTTGGATAGACGTTCTGCTATTTAAAATAGATAAACTATTTCAACAGAAGGCTCTGCTATTCAGAAATAGACGAACTATTTCAACAGAGGAAGAACGTTGAGATCAACTCAAGTCTTAAAACTCTCAAACTTATCTTGTTTATTTCATATGGGCAAAGGCCCTATTTATAGGCTCAAGAGAGCCAATTACATAATTGAATTGCAATCGTATGATTCCAATACGACAAACATATTTACAATATAGCCCCTAGACTATTGAGGGTTACACACTTTATCTCACATCTTACAAACTATACGTCATATTCGATAGATGACATATAACCTATCGACACATGACACTTATTCTACCGATAACGACAAATATCAACTAATAAAAATAAAATACAAATTATAAAATACATCCTCCACTTACTATTAAACGACCCTTCACATGGTAAAAATAAAAATTATGAGTAATAAAACCCAAGTATATTGTAATTACGATAATAAATATAAAGTTAATTTACTTAAAAAATTATGGAAAGATTTAGAAAACTCCACAAAACATTTAAAAGAAAAAGAATCTGAAGTACATGAATTAATTTCTAAAAACAAGAATTATACTGCATATCAATTAATTAAAATTGGAAGATTAAAAACTGAAATTAATCATTTTAAAATAGTAATAAAAAATATTAACAATTCAATTAATTTTCTTTCAGATGCTTTAATAATTTGTTAAAATGAATTCAAAAGTACAAATTAATTCTTCCAAAGATAACATGCTTTGGACTAATATATTAAAAAACCATTGGAAAATAAACTCTAATATCTCTAAAACTATTCAATATTTAGAAAATATTTTATTATATGAAGAAAACTATTTATTAAGATTACAACCAGAGAAAGAAGAGTATAATAAGCAACTAAAAAAGATATCTCGATTAAAAGAAGGAATTAAGAAATATAAAAAATCACAAAATCGTAATTTAGAAACAATACACAATGTTTCAACTATATACTAACAAACACAACTTGTTAATATGCTAGAAACATTAATTAAATACAGATATACTAACTCTAATGAGTAGAAGAAAAACAAATATTAACCCAAACAGTACCTTTATTACAACCAAAATACAAGATAAAGAATTAGTTTGAAAAATTTAACATACGAGAAAAATTACATATGTTTCCTGATAAACTTGAACATAGAAAACAAATACAACGATTTCTTGGTTGTTTAAATTATATTGCAGAACAAAGATTTTTGAAAAATTTAGCAAAAGAAAGAAAAGTTTTACAAAAGAAGATATCAGAAAAAATACCTTGGTCTTGGACTAATACAGATACTATTTTGATACGAAATATAAAACAAAAAATTCAAGTTCTCCCTACTTTATATAATGTAAAAATCAACGATTTTCTAATTGTGGAGACAGATGCATCACAAGACACTTGGGATCTAATCATCATCAAGATCATCCCGACGCATCATTCAGGTACAATCATATCCTAATTTTTATTAATCCGTCATCATGTTAAATTTGGTATCAGAGCAAATCATAAGGAAAAATTTGGTATCAGAGTATAGGGTGTGGGGTGGATAACTTGGAAGTTGCTAGCCTTGCTAGTATTTGAATTGTGAGCTCACGTCTTTTCCGTTCACTTATCTAGGTCTTCCCATTGGAGCCAACATAAGGCTTGGGAGAACTTGAAGTGGGATTGTCGAGAGATTTTTTGTTGTTGTGTAGTCGACCAATCACTTGAAGGGATTTTTTGCAGATTCACTCAGGATGGATGTAATCTTAAAATTGTCACACACACACACACACACACACATATATATATATATATATATATATATATATATATATATATATATATATATATATATATAACTCTTCCCTACAATAGGGTTGTCGACCATCTTACACCCCTCCCCTCCCCCCCCCCCCCCCCTCCCCCCCCCCCCCCCCCCACATTTGTTTGAGACCAGAATAATGTTGTTGTATTTCGAGATATTTAAAACCAAGTTAAACAATTGGAAAGCTACCAATCTTTAGTTTGGAATAGTCTCCTTCTTTATTATGTTCCGTTGTTGTGGGCCTTAAAAAGATTATTCTTTTACTTGATAGCATTAGAAAAATATTTCTTTGGGGGGAGACCCGATAAGAAAAAAAAATTGTTGGATTTCTTAGAGTAAATTCTTTAGTTTGGAATAGTTTGGAAGGTTTTTGCATCAGATGCAAAAAATTCTTTTAATCTCCCGCTTCTTGCAAATTTGTGATGGAGGCTAAAAGCGGGTGGTAATGATATTTGTTTAAATGTATTAAGGCTTGCACAATCTCTCTTGTGGATGGAAAACATATCGCCAAAAAACCGATTCCGAAAGTATGATTTAGTATCTCTAATATTAATTCTGATTTTCTTAATCTTGAGGTCTTGCTTGAGAATCTTTTCGAAATGGTGGCTGGTTTAGGCTATGTTTGGCGCGCCACAGCTAGCTTATTTTTCGAGCTTTTTTATGTTGTCGTGTTTGGTAAGCCAAAAAGTAGCTTATAAGCTAGCTTTTTGAAAAGCTACTTAGACTAGCTTTTTATGAGCTTTTTTAAAATTTTCCAAATACACCCCTTAATTAATTATAGAAACACATACTCTTACATGTCCTTTTACGTAATTTTATATATTTCAGCTAGTTTTTCAGCTAGTTTTACCAAACGCTATTTTTTATCAGCTAGCTTTTCAGCTATCAGCTAGTTTTTTATTTAACAGCTAGCTTTTCAGCTGCTAGTACGCCAAACATAGCCTTAGATGGAAAAAAGGTTGTTTTGGAAAGACATTTGTTGCAGTTCAAGCTGTTTAAAAGATATATTTCCTAACACTTATGTTGTGGAATCTCATAAAAACTGTTTTATTTCGGAGATGAGCTTTGGTTTACTAGACCTTTTAGCAGATTTGGAAGGCCAGAAACAAGCTTTTGTTTAAAAAGGCTAGAATCAATCCTTTGAAGACGACGGATAGTATCCAAGCTTTTACTTTCAATTGGATCAAACATAGATAAAATCAGGTTCAGTAAGCACGTGTACATTAGAAGTAGGAGAAGCTACTTGTAATAGCAAATGCAAGAAAACAAACATATAAATATAATGTCCAAAAATAAGTAATATCTCTGAATAAATAAATAATACAGACTAGGAAATAACAAAAGTAATTTCCTATACACAAACAATACAAATAAATCTACCCCAATCCAATAATCAATAAACCTTACTTACAACACACAATCATACATAACAAAAACAAAAACATCCGGATATTAAACTTTTCAAAAATCAAAAACCAAATATTTACCTTGCAGTTTGCTTTCTTCCAACTGTCATTTTCCTGGATAGCAAATGATCATAACGATCACGTTGATAATCAACCAAAATACACAACTGTCTAATCGCTTCCCTCTTCTCCTCTCCTAAATCCAGTAAATTCTTATCTTTCACGTTAACCAAAATCTCAAGCTCCTTAATCTTGTCATCTTTTTCACTAATTTTCTCATCAGCTTTTTTCATCAATCTCTCCTTCTCACCTTCAACAACCTTCAATTCCTTCACCGTTTTCACCACCTTTTCTTTCATCAAAACCTTTGCAGCTTGAATTTCATTCATGATTTCATAAACCCGTGTCGAGATGTGTCCTTGATCTTCTTCGAATTTCACAGTGAGCGAGTCAATCCCGGAAGAAATCTCGTTGACTTTTGATGAAATCTCCTTCTTGATAATCTCTTCGGTTTCTTTATAAAAAGTGATTGTTTTGGATAAAGTTGAGATTTTTTCTATGAGGGATTTGTTTTCTTGATGGAGTTTTTCTTCTTTTCCTGCATGATCGCCTTCTTTTTCGTTTAGTGTTTGTTCTGTTACACGAAGCTTTTGGTTTGTGAGGCGGATTTTGACTTCAAGGTTTCGGACTGTTTCGGTCAAAGTGTTGACTTCTTCTCCTTTGATTTCCAGGTCTCCTTTCAGGTCTTCCATGGCTTCCTCCATTTGGTCAACCGTTTGTTCTTTTGACTGAATCTCTTCAGCCATTTCTTTGATTTTCACTTCTGCTTCTGAATACTTTTGTTTCATTCTTTCAATCTGAATTTCCAAATCTTTCATCTCTTCTACTGTTTTTGCTTGATCTTTTGACTTGCTTTCAATTTCTTCTTTTAAACTTTGACTCAAGATTAAGAGTTCTGAAATTTCAGTACCCTTTTTTTCCACTTCAATTTCCAATTCATTGAGCTTCTGTTCAAGATCTTTGACCTTTGACTCATGGCATTCCTTCTCTTCCATGTGTTCTTTCGACTTGATTTCAACTTCTTCTTTCAGACTTTGAATCAGGATTAAAAGTTCTGATATTTGAGCACCCTTTTTCTCGATTTCTGTTTCTAATTCAACTTTCTGGTTGTTTAATGCTTCAAGCTGTGATTCTAGATCTTTGACCTTTGACTCATACATTTCCTTCTCTTCTGCTTGTTCTTTTGACTTGCTTTCAACTTCTTCTTTCAGACTTTGAGTAAGAACTAAGAGTTCTGAAATCTCAATACCCTTTTTCTCAAGTTGCATTTCTGATTCATTTTTCTGGTTTTTCAAGGAATCCAGCTCCAATTCAAGATCTTTGACTTTCAACTCAAACCCTTCTTTCTCTTCCAAAGTCTTCGCTTGATCTTGTGACTTGTTTTCAAGTTCCTCTTTCAGACTTTCACTCGAGACTACAAGTTCTGAAATTTGAGTACCTTTTTTCTCAACTTCTGTCTCTAATTCAACTTTCAAACTGTTCAATGATTCAAGCTTCAATTCAAGATCTTTGACTTTTGTCTCATACACTTCCTTCTCTTCCATGGTGTTTGCATGATCTTTTGACTTGCTTTCAAGTTCAGCTTTCAGACTTTGAGACAGGATTAAGAGTTCTGTAATTTCACTACCCTTTTTCTCAATATGCATTTCTGATTCACTTTTAAGGTTGTTCAAAGATTCGAGCTCAAGTTCTAGATCTTTGACTTTTGTCTCATACCCTTCCTTCTCTTCCACAATCTTTGCTTGTTCTTTACACTTACTTTCAAGTTCCTCTTTCAGACTTTCACTCAATGCTGAAAGTTCTGAAATTTGAGTGTTCTTTTTCTCCACTTCTGTTTCTAATTCAACTTTCAAACTGCTCAATGATTCGAGCTTTGATTCAAGATCTTTAACTTGTGATTCATAACCTTCCTTCTCTTCCATGGTCTTTAATTGCTCTTTTGACTTGCTTTCAATTTCTTCTTTCAGGCTTTGACACAGGACTGAGAGTTCTGAAATTTCACTACCCTTTTTCTCAACTTCAATTTCTAATTCATTTTTCAGGGTGTTCAAGGATTCGAGCTTTAGTTCCAGATCTTTGACCTTTGACTCATATCCTCCCTTCTCTTCCTCTTGCTCTTTTGACTTGTTTTCAAGTTCTTCTTTCAGAGTTTGACTCGAGATCAAGATTTCTGAAATTTCAGTACCCTTTTTCTCAAGTTGTGCTTCTAATTCAATTTTCAGGTTGTTGAATTCTTCGAGCTTCAGTTCCAGATCTTTGACACGTGTCTCATAGCCTTCTTTCTCTTCAATGGTTTTCGTGTGATCCCTGGATTTGCTTTCAACTTCTTCTTTCAGACTTTGAGTTAGAATTAAGAATTCTGAGATTTCAATACCCTTTTTCTCGAGATGCATTTCTGATTCATTTTTCAGGTTCTTCAGTGATTCAAGCTCCAATTCTAGATCTTTGACCTTTGACTCCAACCCTTCCTTTTCTTCCAAAGTCTTCGCTTGATCTTGTGACTTGTTTTGAAGTTCTTCTATCTGAATTTCACTCGAGATTAAGAGTTCTGAAATCTCAACACCCTTTTTCTCGAGTTGAGTTTCTAATTCATTTTTCAGGTTTTTAATGGACTCGAGCTCCAATTCCAAATCTTTGACCTTTGATTCACAGACTTCTTTCTCTTCCATGGTCTTTGCTTGTTCTTTTGACTTGATTTCAAGTTCCTCTTTCAGACTTTCACTCGAGACTAAAAGTTCTGAATTTTGAGTACCTTTTTTCTCAATTACTGTTTCTAATTCAACTTTCAGGGTGTTTAATGATTCGAGCTTCAGTTCTAGATCTTTGACCTGAGACTCATAGCTTTCCTTCTCTTCTGTGGTCTTCGCGTGATCTCTGGACTTGTTTTCAACTTCATCTTTCAGACTTTGAGTCAGAATTAAGAATTCTGAAATTTCAATACCCTTTTTCTCAAGTTGCATTTCTGATTCATTTTTCTGGTTTTTCAATGACTCAAGCTCCAATTCTAGATCTTTCACCTTTGACTCATAGCCTTCCTTCTCTTCTAGAGTCTTCTCTTGATCCTTGGACTTGCTTTCAAGTTCTTCTTTCAGTCTTTCATTTGAGATTAAGAGTTCTGAAATCTCAATACCCTTTTTCTCGAGTTGAGTTTCCAATTCATCTTTCAGGTTCTTCAAGGATTCCAGCTCCAATTCTAAATCTTTGACCTTTGACTCATAACCTTCCTTCTCTTCCACAGTCTTTGCTTGTTCTTGCGCCTTCTTTTCAAGTTCTTCTTTCAGACTTTCATTTGAGACTAAAAGTTCTGAAATCTCAATACCTTTTTTCTCAAGTTGAGTTAATTCACCTTTCAGGTTCTTCAAGGATTCCAGCTCCAATTCTAGATCTTTCACCTTTGACTCATAGCCTTCCTTCTCTTCCACAGTCTTCACTTGTTCTTGCGCCTTGTGTTCAAGTTCTTCTTTCAAACTTTGACTCAGGATCAAAACTTCAGAAATTTCAATACCCTTTTTCTCAACTTGCAATTCTAATTCATCTTTCAGGCTATTCAAGGATTCAAGCTTCAGTTCTAGATCTTTGACTTTTGACTCGTACCCTTCCTTCTCTTCCACGGTCTTTGCTAGATCCATAGTCATTTTAGCAGCCTGTTCTCTGAAATTCCCTATCTGAATAACATACTCTGCAATTTCTTGACCACTTTTCTCCAATTGACTTTCTGATTCAAGTTTTTGACTGCATAGAGACGCTATCTCTCCCTCCTTTTCGTTGACTTTATTCAATAAAGCCTGCACATTTTCTTCCAGTTTACTTTTCTGAGTGCTAAGGGATTCCACTTCTTTTTCCAAGTTGCTGAGTGTTTCTGTCAAGTTCTCTATTTGAGATAGAGATTCTTTCTCTTTATCTTCATATTTCTTGCTGAGAATCGACATCTCCTCTTCTTTCTGTTTCTCAATCTCACTTTTCTTGGAATGCAAAGATCCAAGTTCTTCTTCAAAACCCCCTCATTCTGATTTCTGTCTCACTCTTGTGAGATGTATGCATCTCTAAATGATTAAGAAGCTCATTCTCTTTGTCAGCTAACTTTTCTTGTAATTGGCTACATTTAGTGGCAAGTTCTTGGATTTCATCTGCTAACTCTGATCCCTTTATTGATAGAGACTTCTTTTCTTCTTCTGTAGCTTCTAGTGTTTTAGTTACATTTGATAGCTCCTCTTTTGTTGCTTCTAGTTTCTGACTAAATTCAGCTGAAAGTTTAGAATTTTCTTCATGCAATCTATCAACTTCAAGTTTCAACTCTCCCAACATCTTCTCTGTTTCTTGTTCTTTGTTCAAAGCAGCCTGGCATTCTGAACTCAATGCTTCTTTTTCTTCTGTTGCAAGAGTCAACTTTTTTGTCAACTCTTCAATTTCGGTATTTGCTGCTTGAAGTTGTTCCTTGAGGATGTATGCTACTTTCAACTTCCCATTTTTACTGCCTTTCTTGTTTATAGGATCATCTGAATCTGAATCTGAACTGGATGAGGAAGAAGAGTCATTATCTTTCTTTGAATGAACTTTTGCCTTCAGCTCTCCTGTGATGTGATCATAACGGTTGTAAATGGATTGATGATGTTTGTGGAAATCTTCAATCAACTCAACAAGTTTGTCTCTATCATGACTGTCTTCCTCTTTTAGAAGCTCTAGAATCTTCTTATAATTATCTTCCATTTCTGTAAATACATTTAGAGCTTTAATCCATGATCTACATGTTTCTTTTAATATCGGACAATTCAAAAAAATTATATGACAATAAGTAAACAAAAGAAAAAGAGGTGTTCAATGAAGTATATACCTATATTACTGCCTTTAAGTTCCTCATCTTTGTCTGGATCAATATGACTTCCAAAGATCGAATTAATTTTATTTCTGAAACTTTTCTTCTTCATTTCCTTGTGTGGTTTTCACAGAGTGTTCCTCAAAGCTTCAATAAGAACACAGTGTTTATCAGAAGAACAAAATTTGGTGTTCTCCAATGAGACAATGAAATCTTTTTCTTTAACACAAGTGAGCTTGATCCTGAAATTCAAAACAAAAAAAAAGCCTATTTCAGAAATTCGCATACAGAATATGGAGCTTAAATAAGTTCAATATGACTAATAGAATATCAAGGTTTACGTGAGCTACCCTAAAAGTGAAGAATAAATAACAATATTAGGTGTAGTACGCAAGTAGGTGAATGGTCTTGGTTGTCACGCTACATACATAAAGATCATTAAAAGTACGCATAAGTAGAAAATCACGAAAAGTTCCATTATTTTGTTCCTTTTTTCATTTATTAGTGAAAAGTGACAGATGTTTTATGTGATATACAATGCATCATATGTTGCGAGGATATGGCTGTTAGGATATGGAAAACGTGATATAAGAAAATTCTGAAAAGTTAGATATGTAAGGATGCATTTATATGGTGTGTGTACATTGGAGTTCAAAAAGAAATCAATATAAAAATAAAAAGTTATCTAATATTCTAATCTTGTAAGTCACAAATTTTGATGGTTTAGGTTTTTAATAAAATAGATTAAATTGTTCTTCCCAATCAGTATCCCCAATTCCGCACACCCATGTATGGTCCCACTGCAACTGCCAAAGAATCGAACCCTAAAGCATCCGAATCCAATAGGATGACTCAATAAGGATTCAAATCACCAGCGTTCTAGCTTATATTTATTTTGAATAAAACTTCCGCTTTAGTGACGATAAGAAGCATGGGTGTCTAGTAATGAGTATATTCTAGCAAATGAATCATGATTGGTGGGGTTTTTTTTCGAAATCTCAAAGCTATTTGAAAAGGCATCATGAATATTAATTATACGATGAAGGACGATTCTCGCGATTCTGATCATAGAAGCCCGTGATTCAAACACGTTCCTTTCGAGATACATTAAAATCGTATTCGAGTACAGAAATTCAAATTCAAAGAATAATCAGATAAAAACAAACAAATAAACGTATACAACTGGAATCCACTCACAGCTACAGCTTAAATGACTATAACATCAATAACAAAATTCAACAGGGCATCAAAATTCAAATCGGATATCAACGTCGAACTACAAAACCGGTCAAACTTCATTAAAGCTTGGCCGAAAAAGCTAAAAGATAAAGATCAAGACGTTCCGATTCACAGAAATGGAATTTTAATCACGTATATGGACAACGGTAAATCAAAAAAATTATAACCACTAAACTTACATAAATTGAACAAATGATACAAATCAGGTGGTGCTATTAGTACCAAATTCAACTGATCATGACGCAACAATGAAAATCAAACAACTCACCTTCGAATTTCGAGTTGAAACGGAGCTTGAAACTCCACGGATCACCTCTCCCACAGCGAATCAGAAGTCCAGCTGAAAAAAATTAATCGATTTAGTGTGTGTTTGTGTGTGAGAGAGTGAGAGCCAGACAGAGTAGTAATCTGAATTCTGAATGGACTAAATTTTGATCTGAGAATTTAATACTTAAAAAATTCGATAATGGCCCAATTATTTCAAATAAGTTTCATAAGACCCCCAAAAGATATTGAATTATACGGTTGACAGCCTTCTCGTTTTTTATGTTCATAAAATAAACTAGAGTTATAAATAAGTCTTGTTGCATAATTTCATCTAAATACTTTTTATAGCATAGTATCAGTGGCGGTCGTGGTCATGGGGTGTGTGAGAGGTGCAGTCAGACGTGTCTTTCGATTTTAAGGGGCCTCCGAATTTTAGGATAGATATATAGTTATGGTGTTGGTATTTTCGTAAAATACTTTTTTATGAGTTATCATTAAATAAAATTAGCCTTTGGTTTCTTATAGGCACAATATAACATTTGGTTGCAATCTTGAATTCATTATAATCATGAAGTAAACCAAAGAAAATAAAATAAAAAATCAAAATCCAATCATAAATTCTAAAATCTACCAACAATTTAAGGTAATTATTTATATCCACAGCAAAATACAATTATGTTTCTAATATAGATTCTAGCAAACATTTTCATATTTTATAAACCCACTAAAAAGTAAATAAGAAATCAAACCCTAACAAACCTAATAATGGTGTCAATGGATTGTCGTGCTGCTCTTTTCTCTTTCCGGAAACTTCTGTTATGTTGTATTGAATCTTCATAGTTCACTGAGTCATCGATCATCGTCTCGTCCTACTCTAAGTGACTCGTTGTCTATAGGTTAAGGTTATTATCTATTATACTTTTTAGTTTCCATACCATGTTTGATTGCTTTTCTCCCTCAGGCTAAATGCTCCAATGAAGTTAACGAATAGTGAAGTAGAATAACTCAAAAACAATGTTCTTGGTTTGTCCTAGTGGAGTGTCGTGTGAGTCGTGTACTTGTTTTTTAAGTCTATCACTATGTTAATATGTTTTATTGTTTTACCTTTTCAATGTTTGGTATATAATATCATAATGGTCAGAGTTTAAACTTTGTAGATTTGACTTTATAATCGGTATGGTTATATGGTATTATATATTGGCTAAAGTAAATAACCTAAGCAAACAACTTCAAGTTGAGAATATGTGTATTCATGAGGCAATGAGTAGTGTATGGACAGTTATTAAGTTTTTTAAATACTACTGGGAGAATGGGTTTAAGAAGGATTCAGATTGTGTGAGAGCTATTGCTTATGATTTGGGAATTGATCTAGTGATTGTTGAGAAAATTACTAAATTTTTTTTTTTTAAAAAGACATTTTGACGAGGGTGACGTTGGGTTATCAGCACGGGCATATGAACTTTCACCTCCAGAGTTATTCAGTATTCAATATTTTGCGTACGTAGTTGATCAAAGTTTATTGGAGCGAAGATTTGAACAATACAAACAATATGAAGACATTTTTTGTTTCTTATTCATAACAGAAAAGTTGAAGTCACCGAATACCAGTGAGTTAAAGGTAAGTTGCAAAAAATCTTTAAAATAGGTTGCAAAATGATCATATCTTAAAGATCGATGATGATGACTTATGCAACGAATTGAAATTGTTGCAAAAATATTCACCATATGAACATAATACAGCTAACGTAATACTAAATTTTTGAAAAATGATAAACATGTATCTAATTTCTTGTCTATCATACAGAAAATTGTTGATTACAATTGCAACAACAGAAAGAAGCTTTTCAAAACTAAAGTTTTTAAATCTTATTTGTGTTCGACCATGACTCAAGAAAGATTAAACAGTTTAACTTTGATTTCTATTAAGAACGAGTTTCTTAAGAATATTGATTATCAAAAGTGTAATAGATGAATTTGCTTCTAAAAATGCTAGAATGTCGATGTTTAGAAAATAGTAATGTGTTGACTTTTTATTTTTTTTATTTTTTTTTGAAAAACTGTTTGTAACAGTTTCAGTTTGTTACTAATGAGTGAATACATGATGTCGTGGTAGTGAATTTATGAGATGTTTGTTAACAACCTTTAAGTTTTGAATTTAACAGTAGTAATTTTACTTAATAATATTTTACAAGAATTTTTTTTATAGGGTCTCATTTTAATTTTCGCACAAGGCCTTCGAAATGTTAAGGTCGATGCTGCATAGTATGATAATATAACATGACCATGATAAGTGTAATATATTTGATATTTTATTTATAAATAATATAAATATCCACATGCATATGTCGATTTATAATATATGAGTAGATAATTTAGGCCAAATATTGAGTATATAATGAGAATGGAATAATAAGATATCAATATTTTTGATAAAAAAAATAATTTTGATCTGTATATTTTTATCATTATTAATAATATATAATTTTTTGGAATGAGGGTATTATATTAAAACTAACAAGAAGTTAAAAAGAAACTATTACAACAAAATAAAAACTAAAACGGAATTATGAAGTCAAGAATTTGAGTATAACTTAGTTTGCCTATATCTATTAAAAATCTAAAAAAAATGTGCTCTCACTGTATCACATCATCATTAATAATATATTAATATTTTGATAAAAATCATTTCGATTGTCTAGAATGTATATATCTAACAAATGAACAAATATTAATCCATAATCAGGGAATAAATCATCATCTCACATTTTGCTTCATACTTGTAAAAAATACAAAATTAGTATACATTCAAGTGTAAATTAAGAATACATGTATTTCATTCAATCGTCATAAAAAAATACTATCATATATTGTAATTTTAAATTATGATAAGAACATAAAGAATTGAAGCGAAAGGGTACATAACTAAAAATATACTTTATTAGTGCAAATATATTTTGAACAAAACTTTTTATATAAATTTCAAATACAACTATATGACTTACAATTATAGAGTCTCACCTACTTTACTTATTTGGGGTGGATGAAAGAGGAGGCTAAAGCAATAGGGGGTAATACGCATGATGTCAAAATGCAAGGGGTAAAATGGAAAACCAGAGAAATTGAGATGGCATGGAAAGTGATTTTGTCTGGCATGCATGACAGAAATCAGAATCGAACGGCATATTTGTGGTTTCAAATTTTTTATGTTAAAGGAATACTAGTCACGGAAAATAATTAATTAACAGAAAAAAACACTTTGAATGTATTTTTACATTATTTTCAGAGCATTTATATTGGAAGCCTGTTTTCAACTTTTTTAATAAAAAGAACTTTTAATATTTTAACAAGTTATATGAAAAGATTTTTAATGTACCTGTTTTTGTAAAACATTTTAAATTCAAACTAAAATTTCATTTAAAAACCGGTTAAATATTAAAACTCATTTCAAAAAATATAATATAATATCGATTTATTTCAAAAGCATAAGATTAAACATAGTTGAATTATAAAGATCGACAGAAGCTGAATTACAATAAAGCTTTGATACGAATGTACAGTCACGTCACTCCCTTCCTTCGAATAATCTAAAAAGCATTAAACTTAATGTAAGAATAAAGCTTACTAAGTTTCCTAAAACATCATGTACCACAATATACATACAATACGTACAAATCAATGGATCACGACCATTCATCGTTTCACCAATAACATACAAATCATGGCTTACGACCTCTCGTCGTTTCGCCAATAACATGTGTGCATGGACTTACGACCTTTCATCGTTGCGTCGTCAATATGAATCTATAGGCTCACGACCTCTCATCATCAGTCATCAACTTCTCATACAAATATATGAACAAATGATACAACCAGGTACAAAAACATATTGCAGACTATACTAGTCTACCCATACAACTCTATTTTAACATTACATTTATCCTAACATACAAGCATACATATAGTCTACATAGTATAGTGAAAAACTCACATGAGTCAACAACAAAAGCTCAACAAGAATCTATGTAACGAAAAGCTAGCATATGGCTCTTAAGATCAATCTAAGACTAAACTTTAGTCAAATTCTCAATTTTTTAACCAAAAGTCAAAATAATCAAGTGGTCAAAGTCAATGGTCACTGGTCAACACACCATACGTGCCGTATAGACCTCCTGGTACGTGCCACGTACACTAAACGCCAAATCAAACGTATGGCCATAATGACACGCACAGCGTGCATGGATTGTACGCGCGGCGTAGCCCTGTTGGAAAAACAAAAGACAACTTGTTAAATGCTTAATCCCTTAAGGTCATAGCTTCAAATCTCCATAATATTATGAAACTAGATTATAACCCGCGTAAAACGCTAGGGAAAACATAAAAAATACATATAAAGGTATAAAAATGTTGCACAATTGTTAAAAAAATACAATTATTTGTAATATTGAAATGTCTATAAAATACAATGAAATCGGTGAATATCTAATCATTGAAGGACCTCTTTGTAGACAACATTTTTTTTTGTTTTATTAATTGAACTACTTCCGTTGTCACATATGAGTACCATAAAACCTTTTTTTACTTGTGATACAGGAAACAACTACATATAACTGACCTTGAGTGAAGATAGCATTATACAAGTATAATCCAACATTTGATAATGGTCATAGAGAAACAAACAACTACGGGGAATTGCATCTGCTGAAAACGGAATGAGATTCTTTTATTAGACGGATTTAACTTAATGCGATATATATAAGTAGTCTCGTTGAAGAATCTACCAGATGTGATTCGGGCTTCAATGACATGTCTTCCAAGCCTATCAATCTGTAATCTAGTATCATTGCATGTCTTTTGGATTGGTCGATATTAGGAAGTAACATGACTAAAACACATGTTTTTAGTGTAAGTTTACGGTTGAAAATTCTAGATGACTTAAAACCATTCAACACATCTAGAGAGTAGACTAATTTCTTAAAACAATCTGGTGACTTTGTCTCACATAAAGAATTTGAACTCAAATACGTTTTCACTTCATCTTTCATCAATCCTAACATGTAGTTATTGATTGGTTCAATTAGTTCTCTTTAAACGATTCATTACTTTTGACAGTTGGTGAGTAATTTCCTCTCGATGAATAGTTACTTACACCGATTAGTTTCATTTCGGAAACATATCTGAGACGGTGATTAGTTTTTTTTTTTTTTTTTTTTTTTGGGGGGGGGGGGGGTTAATTCCCTTTCGGCTATTAGTATTTTATTAGAACATGTTATATTCTAAAGAACCGTCAAGTATCTTTCTCGTTAAAGTATATCTACAATGTATTTTGTTTTCGATTGTAAAAGCATGTTAATATATGTGTTTAATATAAAAGTTTGTTATTGACTTGATTTAAAAATATAAGTACGATGCAGTTTGAGTTTAAAATGTTCTTTTTAGAATTTGTTATGTCTTTTGGGTTAAAAGTTAAAATATTTGATTGTTGTGGATTGCATAGGAAAGTGTGTTATTATCTTTAGTTAAAAATAAAAATACAATGTATTTTTAGTTTAAAATTTTCAAAATTAATTAACCTTATCAACAATTATCTTTTTTTATTAACAGCTATTTCAATAATTTTTTATTTGACTTAAATAAATATTAGTTTAGGTTATTATGACAATCTTTAAATAGCTATTTTTATATAATATTTTTTAAACTAAATTTAAACTGTAACTTACATCAACTCCTCGTTTACCTTACACTTATAAAACACATTCCTAGTACCTTAACCTCATATTTACGACATTGATTGTTCCTTATGCATATATTTGGACTATAAATGACAAATTTACCCTTGAA